GTTGTTCGTTTGTCCTAGCGGCGCATGGTCCCACGGATCGCAGCCCGAACACAATTGACGACGCTGTCCACCATATATATGGTTGGTGGCATCTGGTTTCGGAATTGCCTGTCATTGTGGCCAGCCACAGGACGCCTGTGCCTACTCATGGACCATGGGTGGCTTGCGCTACACCACCCACAGCTCCATCCACACACCTCTTATCCAGTGTAAACCCGCAGGAATAAGACCGGGATGCAGGTGGATGGGAGCCACGTTTCATCAACGGAGCCGACCCACACTCCTTCACAGGCAAACAAAAACAGACTGTATTTGGGGAATCCAGCGCACACAAGGCGGTGGCTGGACCGTAGTCCTCTCCACACTGAGTGCATAGAACCACTCTTCGAGCCTAGCACGGTCACAAGGACCATGCACCCCGGCCCCTCTAGCAACGACCAACTGTCTCCTGGAGCCAGTATGGACGAGGTAGTGAGTAACATACAGGTAGGCACCTTGTCAACATGCACATCAAGTGCAGCCACACGGAGGATATCAAGCAACAACCAATCACTTGAGAGAAATGACAAATAAAATAAGTCGCGTCATGCATAAGGAAACGGTGACATAAATGTTAAATTAATGAGCATATGAAATAAGTTGTTAACAAACGAATGTGAGATAAGTTCACGAGGTCGCAATGTATATTTCACGGAAATAACACAAACAAGAAAATGTTATGGAAATTAACTACAATTGGCTTAAGCGACGTGTGCAAGTTTATATAGGAGAGAGTACAGGTAGACATTTATATGAGCAAGAACAGCAGTATATCAAAATTGAAAACCCACCACCTGAAATAAAGAGACTTAGCATGCAAGCACACTAGTAACTCGAATGCAGCGTACCTACAAACGCTGCGCCGGTTCTGCCTACGTCCTCTGCAGGACCCGTCGTCGTTTCCGTAGTGGTTCCGAGTGGCCTCGCTCATGGCTCACCAGGCCTGTCTGACTCAGGCACTCGCGACCGCATGTGTTACAGCACCATGCGCTTGATGTCGATGGAGTACAATTCATAGGTGCTTGCCGCTTCCGCACTTGCCGCTTCTTCGCTGTATGTATGAGATCTTGCTACCGCACTTCGGCAACTGCCTTCGTGATTAGATCGCGCCATGCTCGCCCATCAACCGCCTTCGATTCCCATGACCTGCAATCAAGATTAGAACGTGAGAGGCACACTTTGCTTATGTCCTGGTAACGTAACTTTGCTTTCCCATATGCCGCTTCCCCATACTTAGCTGACCATATAAGCGTTGTTTCGGTATCCGCGTCAAATCCACACGGCTCACATGACCGAGCCATCTCATGTTTCTCAGCAAAAGTATGCAGTGCACTGCATACATTCATCTAGGGCGCAACACTTCCGTGTGCGCAACTCTGTCACCCCATTCCATACACAAAAGTCGTCGCAAACACTGCTGATGGAACCGCTCGAGATAGCGCACATCCGCCGGTACATCGTCCACGTTTCACTGCCGTACAGAAGAATGGACAACACCATGGATTTGTACACCATCGATTTCGTGCCAACGGTAAGCTGATGGTTGTTCTACACTCGGTACTCTAGCTTCCCGAATGCCGCCGCTGCCTTCGACACGCCGATACGCAGCTCACAGTGTAGGTGCTGATCAGTCGACCTCACACTCCCAAGGTAGCAGAAGCGGAAGGTAGTTTCCAATAGTTTAGCACCAATGCTGATTAGCGGCAATATTGAAATTTGCACCGCCGGTGAAGGCTGAAAGAGACAGACAGTTTTGCTTGTGTTGATGGTGAGCCCGAATTTGGCCGCTGTCGAAGCCAGAGCATTAGTCATGTGCTGCAACTCATCCGCGCTGTGTGCAAACAATTCACGGTCGTCAGCAAACAGCTACATACGGATAGCTGTCTCACAGGCTAGAGTTCGTACACCGAAACGACGGATGTTCAGGAAACCACAATCAATACGGTGCTCCACACGAACATCCTAAGCACAGGCGGCATCAAAAGCACAAGACAGCATAGCATGAAGATATATATTAAACAGCGCGTGAGCTAACACACAGCCTTGCTTCACACCAGAGACAACTGCAAAGTCATCCGAGGTCTCTCCACTCAGCTGCACCCCGCTCGCATACCACTGTGCAGACATTCAATTAAACTTACAAACTTACGCGGGCAACCAAACTTACCCAACACCAGCCACAATGCCTCGCGGTTCACCGTATCAAATGCCTTGGTGAAATCAACAAAAAGCGAGTACAATGGCTGGTTCGTTCTCTACATTTCTCTTGCAACTGACGAGCCGCAACCACCATATCTATAGTGCTGCGACCCGAACGGAATCCGCACTGCTCTTCCGCCACGTTAGGTTCCACAACCTGACTGACGAGGCGATTGAGCAGGATTTGGGCAATCACCTTGCCCACACAACTCAACAAGTTGCTGCCACGATTATTCGTGCAACATTGCTTGCTCTTTTCACCCTTGTACAGTGGTAGCAAAAGGGCATCCTACAGCTCAGCAGGCAACTCCTCCTCAATTCATGCGAGTTGCGCCAAGTGACGCAGCGCAGTCACTAACAAGCGTCCTCCGTGTTTCAATATTTCAGGCAGGATCTCGTCGGCCCCAGCACATTTGCAGTTTCGCAGCTGCGCAAGTGCTTTCTGTGTCTCACCCAGTGGCGGCGTGTCCGCCAGACTCGTCTTCACATCCTGCTGCCTGAGGCCGTTAAATTTAGGCCAGTCGATCTCTAGACGGTTATTCAAGAGACAGTCGAAATGGTTCCGCCAGATCTGCATTATGTCTGCAAACTGTGTGCAGGTAGGGCCTGAATTACCATCGATCAGCGTTCTCAGAGAGTCCATTCTCGGTCCATACACTGCCTTCAAGGAGTCAAAGAATTCCTTGTGTTGGCGGCGTTCGGCGTAGCATTCCATTTGCTTCGCGTTCTCCGTGCACCATGCATTTTTATGCGATGGAGCTCTCGGGTCAATCGCCGTCGAATTTTGCGAAACTGACTCTTCTTCCCCAAGTCACTGGGGTCTGCCACATGTGCAGCAAATCCTGCATTCTTCCCCGACACCAATGCGCAAATCGTCCCATCGTTGTTGTACCAACGATACTAAGCCTAAACTAAGTACGTCGTAAGCAAACTAAACTAGAAACTACGAACAAATAAACCTGGAAATAACGCACGGTCTGGGAAGAAGAATAAATCGAATTATCCTGTAACCGTGGTTTTATAAGGCGTATTAAATACAGTACATGACTTATGAATAGGTTTTGCAATCGTAATGCAAGTGGGCAAAAACTGCACAGCGTGGGGCAGAGCGAGTATTTGGGCTGTGTCACAGTAACATAATAAAATGGATGACCTTGAATCGTCAAGGATGTGTCAGTGATCGAGTGAAAGGAATAACTATACGATATGTTAACCACTCGTAGGACACAGTAAAGCAGTGTAAATGAGCAAGATAATTAGGAAATACATATACCATGTCCTCATGTACGCAATCCAAGTTGGGGATACATTAAAGTTCCTTTTGGACTTTACAGTTGTCATCAAACTAATCAGGCCGCTTAGAGTTTGCGCGCCCGATGGTCTCCTCGGCAGCAGCTGTCACGGGGTCGCGAATATGGTGCCACAGGTCGTCCACCGTGGCTATGAAGTCCACATCACACACGCGTGCAACCATCGCCTTTTCCAGCTCAATACGTTTCGCCCCAGTACCGAGGGATTGTTAAATTTACGCCGATTCACGGTGGGAGTGCAGTGCCGCACTGATGCTCTTCGCCAATCGAGCTGTGAGCTTATAACCTGTAGACCTGTTGTCTCCTATGGCTAGCTTTTACGTGAAGAGGGCCATCGACCGCGTCCAAACCTCCGAAGAGGACGGACTAGGATACTGTCAGGGCGCCCACACCTGACGGGAGAAGGACTCGGGTCCTCAGCCAAAGCATTCGATTAAATGTACACCCGAAAGGCAGCGGGTCTAGCACGTGGTCAGTTCACTGACTCATGCGGATTGGTGTCCTGGATCTAAGAAGGGAGAAGGGCGAAACCGAACTCCCACCCAGCGGTCGCCACGAGGCGTCCAGGAGATGAGCCAATGGCGCAACAGTAGCAGCAGTGGGTAGGTCATCTGTCAGGATCTAGCCACCACCAGCCTCAGCGCACCATAGGCTCTCCCGCTTACCATATATATATATACATGCGGTTGATATTGGGACTATTCGTTTACCTACCACTGTTGCAATTTTGTGGTTGATAAAGATGCATGAAAATGCGACGTCATCTCACCATCCAAGTTTTCTGATGTTCCTGTTGAAAAATATCTAGGGAACTTGCTGTTTTAAATTACCAAGAAAGCCCACATAACATTTGGAACTTCTTTTCCATTCTGCTTACTGACTGTCATTTTTTCTATTGTTACTCCTGTGTTGTGCCACTCTGACAACTGCTTATTGGGAAAGTGCTATATATATATATATATATATATATATGTGTGTGTGTGTGTGTGTGTAGAAAAGAGACCTGTCTAGGTTCATGACTTGAATATGTTGCTTAATCCGGATTCGTAAACTACTGCTGTCGGAAGAGTTTGTCGAAATTCCTATAGTCATTGGCATGCTTTGCTTTTGACAGCGTTTTCAATATGGCGTTTTGTTGACAATTTTCGTCTCTCCGTCATCAGGAAGGGCGGTAAGCGAATCCATCGTTTGATGAATTTGTTCTGCTTCAAACACTACCGCATTTCAATCTTCCACTCTACGTGCTAACTTGTCAGGTATTTGTTTCCGGTACTGCCTTATCAAGTAGCAATAATGCGGTGTGCTTGACAAGGTGTGAACGGGTAAGCTAAATCCCACTAAATTCGTCATGCCCATATCGCCTTATCTACACGCACTAATAATGCACTTGAGAACACAAAGAGCAAAGAATATATAACCAAGTAAGCAGCCAGTGAGAAAAATAATGGCCATTTATTGATTAAGTTTCCGTATTTTGAAGTTTCGTGTACTTGATGAGCGGAATGACCGGAACTCGGCCGCGAACTGCTGAATCCCCTCCAAATCTTTGAAACCTCTGGCAAAGACATTAGGTTGCCTGGGTTCTAAATTCGCTCTGGCTTCAGCTCTTGGTGCAACATTGCCATATAGTCCCGGACAATCATCCTGTTGAGTGAGTGGCAACTTCATCGAGTTTCTAGCTGCTGTTCTTTCGACCCGTTGTGGCATAGTCTGACTGTGCAAAGGAAAAAGAATGCCAAGCCGGGGCTTTTTTTCAAAAGCTTCCACAGAATTTTGACAAAGATGCGGGTACGCAATGTTAAGTGGAGGATTCCTATCACATGTTGTAGCTTCAAGTTCAGTGAGACAATCATCTCCGGCCAATGATGCTGACTGGGAGTGCTTCCTTTTTCCTATTATATTAAATATGAAGGAACGAAACGCCGTTTTTTGCCTCATATTTGAACCGGAGGTAAGCATTTCGTTTTCCTCATGACGAGTAAGACAAAAACAATTAGGGGCCATGATTAAGAAATTGCAACGCCATGGTCGAAGTCATTTGCTTAAGTATCTCGATGGCTCATAATAGTCCCCTCGGAGTGAATCGTACATTTAAACAGTAATTTGCATGTCACGTGACATATAATGCAATGACCGAGTGTAAACCCTGTGAGAATAATCGAACCAGTTGCGTTGGATCACGTGGGTTGTTTTCAAGTTCTAGCGATGTGAGCGCTTAGCCCACGTCGGTTGGTATCCTACATTAACAGCGAAAGCTCGATAGAACGGGAACCTTAGTGATCGCAGTGTTAGTCTATTGAGTAAATGCAAATGCAGGCCAAAACATGTGTCTCTAGGGTCCAGTGTCGGGAATGCAGTCTGCATAGCTGATGAAAGAGAACAGACCCATGAGGCACCACAGCTAACCTAATTGTAAACTGTTCTTGCTGTTATCCATGTATTCGCTTCGGAGTTGTTGGAAGATGTATAACGTTCCGCGTTAGAACTGGTCACGTGTACCGTGAACCCAAGGCAAAGCTTGTCTTAAAGCAACCTTCGCACTTTCACAGAGCACATGGTGTCTATCAAAAGGCACCTCAAGGTTGGCCAGAATGTTAGATACTGTTTAGGAAGCGTCTCAGATTCAGTAAAAATAAAGCCTGTTAGCTAACACCAGTTCTTGCACATAGTTATGTTTTCTTCCAGATGGGAAAACTGATATTCGGATATATATATACATATATATATTTATATTTATATATTAGATGCTTGGGATTCCACTCATTTTTAGATAACGAACCCCGGAGGCATTATCATGGACACGGTCGGAAACAGCTGTTCGTCCTCAACTTACCTGACAACGGGATTACAAGTTCACGAACCGAACTATTGTAACTTATAGGCCGTGCGCTTCGCTACATCCCGTAGACTCCAGTCTCCTTTGCTTCAGATTGCACCTCGTGTAGCTGTGAAAAAGTATCGACTTTTAGATTCCTAGGTAGAATTTCCAATGGAAAATATACTGCCCAATATCGGGTGACAAGCTGGATTATGCCACTTCCGATCACCCTTGCGGTTACATGTGACAATTTCAGGCGGAATCAAAGTTGAGCTGCTGTAAATCCTTATACCTGTTCCTGGTTCTGTTTGAAATATGTATCCGTTCGGTTTGCATCCAGTCGCATATTTGTGAATTGGAGTGTAGCAATCATTGGTTGTGTGTATTCGTTTCGACTGAATGGGTTAATCATAAAAAACCGACGTTTCTAACTGGTTCATATTACCCAGCAGTTGCTTGATTGTAGGTTTCCACTGTTATGGATCTTCCATTATGTTCAATTACCTTTTCGTTAGTGTGGATCACTGCGATGCTGAAGGATCTAAAATTATTCGCTATCACCCGTTAGTGCTTGTTGTTAAAAGTAGTGCTTTACTTGAAGCTAAATTTAAATCGCACATCATATCTGAACGAGAGATAGTGTGGAATTCGTGACTGATATCAGTTAGTTGATCTACTTTTTTGCGGTAAGCTCATGCTCCGTTCACTCACTTAACAAAAACCCGCAAGCTGAATTGCATTTCTTGACTTTTGATTCGCAGTGAAATACCACCGTCGTAAACAAAGCCACGACGACCACTAAACGAAAACCTTTAAAACGAACGGACAGAAACGTTTATTGTTTGCTCATGCTTGAATATATTTTGATTTACGTGTTTGTGCGATTAGTCGCCCAGGTTGTAGCATTAATCCGATGCCCGTTGTCTCCTGTATCCATCTGCTGCGTGAACCGCATTTTCGCAACTTCAGGTGCGTCTGTCTTGTCACCCGTCACTGACGGCGGCAGCATTTGGTGTTCGTACGATGTTGACTCGGCGCCATTTCATCTTAGTTTAGCATAACCCACTGTGTCGAATACCTTACTTTAGTTAGCACAGAGCTGGCAAACACAATTTAAAAGTAATTAACCCTAACTGAGCTCTTTTGCCATCGGCGGTACTGGTGTTAGACCTTTCTTAATAAAGTGAATGTTTGCTTGTAAAGGAGGTATACGAACAGCGAAATATACCGGATGGTGTGTATTAGTTCACTCAATAACATACGAACAAGGCAATGGAACGAATTAAGGTACTCGCGCTAATTGGGAATCAGTGAATAGTTACTAAGTTCAGGTATTTTATGTTTCGTTTCTTGCCAGCAAAAATCCATTTCGACCCGAGATTTTAGCGTCCGCCTGCAGGATGCAATACGTCACCGATATGAAGCACGGAGAGTGGGTGGTGGATCATATCTGTGGCATCGTAGGGTTACTAACCAGACAGAGTATATACGATAAACAAATCCAAACTTCCTGCCGTTAGCTCATGGGTTTAGTGTCCCGGAGTTCTGTCGTTCAGCAGAGGACGCGGATGTGGGTCCCTTATGTCTACATCGCTTAGCTTTTGCTCCGAACCTACGGCGACAGTAATGATTACTCTGAGTTCGCTCGGTGATGCTCGTCACCCATCCATTGTGGCCAACAGAAACAGAAATTCTATGGGCGGCGTACCTGCAACTTCATGAGGCAACTACAGGGTTGTTCGTGGGCACTCATTCTGATGTTATCTCAGACAGTGACGATGTGGGGGAGCGCGGTTGGTGGTATTTGTTGGAATGCTCCTTTTTCACAGTCGTTACTTCTCCTCATCCTCATCGTCCTCTGTAATAAAATTTGAGAGCCGCTGCCCTGGATGTATTAGACTAACCACGAAGATACAAATACCTGTAGTGCTTAGGTGGCGTAACCATAGTGATTTTGTTGTCAGTATCCTCTGAGCATAGTTTCTGCATTTGTTTGTGCCCCAGTGGTTGCATGCTGCGACAAAATAAATAACTTCAAGCGCATTTACCGGTCGGCATAATCACCCGCACATGGTGTATCCAGTCTCCCGGGACTGGAGACTGGAGTCCCTGAGAGTCTCATAAAAGTCGCAAAGGAATATGTTTGGGACTGTCAGAGGACTGCCGCATAAGAATTTTGCGGTGTTTTTCTTATTCTCGAATTGTTAGTCTACTTCACAGATAGACGTATGAGTGCTGCATTTGTGGGCTTTATACATATTAGATCGCACCAAGCTCGATGAGCCGCAATTATTATAGTGGGTAAATTTCATGAGTTAGGAAAGAAAGGCGCAGCACTTCGCCATATTTTGCTTGATGATCATCCGTAATCCCGAGTGGCGCGCTAATTCTTTCACCCAGCGAACAAAAACGTTTGAAAAAGGTAAAACATTAAAAGGGCAAGTAATGTTGGACACTGACTGCAAGCTTTACATGCGCTAAATTTATGGCCTCAAACAGTACTAGCAAAGCAGTAACACTACTAGACTACGTATTTAGTCAAAACGCACAATCTTTACATTCAATGGAATGAAGTACATAAATTTTACCGTATTATTGGGTCCCGATGTGCTGTTTTCCTATCGGTTATCACTTCCAGTCTTACCGGCAGCATGTTAGATCCAGCGCTTTGGTTTGATGTTGGTGATTTACTCAGATGCTCCGGGGAACGACTTTCAGAGTATAGTGTCTGAAAACTGAATCATGAAGCTTGCTTGAAATACTCACCGACAATATCTCGCGCGAACCAGGTACCCGACAAGCGGTATTTGTTCTGAACGTGGCGCAAATTAACCTGAAGCGCCAAGCTGTTGATCATGGTGGAAAATCAAATATTTTCCGTAACATGACTAAGGGAGTTTCAACAAATCGTCGACGAATAAATGTGTAATAAAGAAATAAATGGGTATTTTTTTGACAAGCGGGATACGTTCCCTTTTGTGGGACGCTCATTTGTACGGCGTTTTGTTATTTTTGCATGCATAACCTCCATTCATTGTGGAAGGGTTATCCAATATTTTGTTGCGTAAGTAATAAGTAACGTTATCGGATAGTCAATATTGCCATATGCAGTTCGGGCCCGACTCCATGAGCGTGCTCGTGAATAGCAGAAGGTCGAAAGTTCGGCCAAATGAGGCATGAAAAAATAGTTTTACATGCATTCTAAAAATGGACTAGCTCTCGCGCGTTCTTAATTGCAGACGGGTTTTTCCACAGATGGGCGCATCTCACCAGTAGGAATTTTGAGCTGATATTTTTCTTGGTTCTCTGTAAGCAAAGTGGACATTTTCCATTACGACTGGGGTAGCTTGAGTAAACTCGCAAGTATATTATGCTGTAGGGAAGGGTAAGATTGGTTTTCAGCCGTCGAAGCCAGAGTGCATCGAGCTGGAGGTGAGAAAATCGCTCCCCACGGGTAAGCGATAATGAGCGCCCCATGAGTATTTTGGTAAATGACCTGGACGTTTTCCAAAGCAACTGTATCTGTTTTACCTAAGTGGCTATGTATGATAGTGCAATATTCTAGCCTGGGTCGTACAATGTGTTTGCATGCTTCAAGTCGCAAATTAGTTGCTTCACTTTCGTTAGGTGATGTAGGATGCGTTCGGCGAAGTTGAATCTGATTGAATATCGAATTCTTACTATATATATATATATATATTTGTAACAGTCTACGCATAGACATAGAACCATCAGAAACCATGGGACTCAAAGAAAGACGCAGAAATAGTAAAAGAAAACCAACACAACACGTTAACGTCCCTGGTCTTGTCAGAGGGCGAGATACTACCCGGTTGCCCAAGCCGAAGTACGATATTGACTTAGGGGACTCCACCCCGAGGCCTTGGCCGAATAGCCTTTCCTCAAGGCAGCGGAGGGAATTCAGAGGAATCGCGCCCATTCGAATCCGATGACTGATTGCTCAGTTCATACGCCTTTCGTTTGTTCCTTTTTCAAAAAGGAACCCAATGCTCCCCAGAATTACAGCATAACTTTGCTGGAACACGATGCTTAGCCAGGAGGAAGCAAGAGACAGTGACGTTATTTTGTGGTGAGTCGCATCCGCCGCGTCACAGTTTTGTTAAACGGACATATGTGGCTTTTTATAGGGAGAACGCTTGAGAGGTGAAAACCCCCAAATTCCTGG